TTTTTTTTATATACAGTGAGTGCAAAAAATATTCGTATAAGCAAATTTTTTATAAAAAAAAGTTTTATTTGTAGAAAATAAACATTAATTAGCAATTTTATACAATGAATATATTCTGTCCTAACATAAACAAAGCGAGCTTTGCATGTATTTCTGATTTTAAAAACTAAATTTCTTGACTGTATGAATACTTTTTGAGCATCCAAACAATAGAATTTTTAATTTTCGATTATTTTTCAGATGATATATTTTCTATAATTAATACATATTTTGTATATACATATATAATTTTAAGAAACAGTCTATTTTATTTTTTATGAATAAACTGTTAATTACCCAGCAAGAAATGACCGTCAATTAAACGTCGAATCGACGTCAAATTGTGTTGAAATCATCGTATCGATATATTGATTCGACATCAATTCCATAACTCATTTCTCAAAGAGAAATGAGTCATGGAATTGATGTTTCTCTTTCTGGAAGTGGGTTGGAATTGACATTTTTCTCTTTGAGAAAAAATATTTATTTTTAAAATAAAGCTTTTTTTCATAAAAAAAACATTTTCTCTGTACGAATACTTTTTGCACTCATTGTATATAAATACGTAAAGTTATATAATATGCTATAATATATTAAAACTATTTCTTTATTTATTTAATATACTCTGAAAGTGCGCATTCGTGATATTGAAGCTTCGCAAACTTCTTCTCAAGTAGCAAGTTACTCGGTATTTGATTTGCACCGTTCCTCTGCTGCCTTTTCATAAATCTGTCATGAGGCGAAGGGTTTAGTACAAATTTTCTTTTTTAGGAACTTTCGAAAGTAAATTCAAGTTTTATTTCTCAGTTTAAAGGAAATTATCCAATTTAGCTTATCAAAATTTTCAATTTAAAACTTAACTTTTGCCCACGTCCTTTCAAACAACGTAACTTTAATTACTTTAAAGCTCCGATTCTTTAATTTTTTAAAGATTAAAAAAAAATATGCAATTTGGAGACCTCTAGTTAAAATTTTAGTCGAGAGAATATTTTACAATATTTTAAATCTTGCAATTCTTACTTTAAGTTTTGCTAAACGAAAGTTAAAACACGCTGTACAATCTTTATCGACATGAAGGACGATTTTTGGACGACTTTTACGGATAAATCAGGTCGATCGTGAATGATGGACGACCAGTAGATTTCCATATCATCCGTTCTTGGTGACTTATGTTTGTCGCGCGGCGCCAGGGATTTGTTTGACATTGCGTGATGACAGTTGTCACGCTATGAATCTACGTGATGTTTAAAAAAAATGTTGCTTTTATCGAAGGAGACTGCCACTGATCTCTTCTATTGACTCCTGTCAACCGCGATGCGTAATCCTTTTACATACGTAGAAGGAAAATCACTTAGTAATATTACGTAAACTTTACTTCACAATTATCAAGATCCGCTGTTTCTGTCGATAAAATTTGATATTAGCGAAACAGCTAGTAGAAAGGAATATTAATTATCTATTCCATCTTCGAGCGTCTCTCTCTCTTTTATCCTGTGACATTTAATTACACTCCTTGCAACTCCCAACTCATTTTCCCTATTTATTTACCGCCCGTCGAACTCGTCGTCGTTTTTTCTTTTTCTTTTTTTTTACGTAGCACTGTCGCTACGACTTCGTAATATCTACCGCTAATGACAATCTTAATTAATTTCCGTTGGGGAAAGAGGCCACCATGCGAGGCCTCAAAGATATTTTGTACTGAAGGAATGATTCTGACGATTTTCATTTCACTGGGACGAGCAAGCGAAACGATCCCTCTCGCAGTGCTCTATTTTGCGAAAAACCCGACGTTCGATGTATTTCTATATTACGTCATTAAATCATGCCGCGTCGAAAATAATGCTCCGCTCTCCTCGCGTCGATCTACTTTAATTTCTCAAACCCCTGCGCGAAAGAGAAAGAAATCGACAGAGAGAGAGAGAGAGAGAGAGAGAGAGAGAGAGAGAGAGAGAGAGAAAGAAAGAGTATATACAAGCATACGGGAATGGAAGTATGCGTCGTGGTTTCGCCGAGGATAATTAAAAATGCACCCCATTAATACATGGCATTCGAGGCGACGAAATACGATAACGGGCAATTTAAAGCGAACCGCACGATCGGCCGGCCGATACGTTTGATACATTTGAAATATTAATGGCCTCCCCAAATGACGAAATAATTGAATTGTGTCGGACATCTCCCCGCGATGGGTGTACGGCAACTAATTTCGCCATGAAACGCGATATGTCCGAATACTTTAACACACGTGCGCGCGCGAAAGTATCGAGAGGATTATGTATGTATATCGTCATAATTCCTTCGTGTAAAACGATTCATGTACGTAAAGTACCGCACGGTCATTCTTTCCAATATATCTATACCTGCATTACACGCAATATCGCGTAACAATGTGTACCTGATGGACACGATGTAAAAATTTTTATAATGGATTCGTTGAAATATATATCGCCGGGACGTTTATTTATTCTCGCGTCGTCGCGCGATCCGTAGAGGGTCCGCGCGTTACCGAAAACACAATTCCCCGTTGTAAAGTTTAACTGAAATTTAATTAGAATACGTTCGATTTAAAGTTTAAATTAGAGTTAAAATTAATCCGTTTATAAGCGATTAAAATTCTAATTATGCATACAATCGATAGAATTTGACGGCGCAAAGATGTTGCGTTCGATGATATATAAATTTTTATGCAATAATTGAATAAGTTAATTGTAGGTACCAAAAAGTGTAACATAAGTAACACAGTGTTTCTGAATAATATTTCATTCGCTTGAAGAAAGTATGAGTTACCTTTATAGCTATTTTGTTTATTACAATAATGTATCTTTATCTATAGAATTAATATTTTCCAAAGTAGAACACAATTAAGTTAAAATGATATCAAATTAACTCCAAAGTGATTAGAAAAAATCATTTTTCAATCGTGATTCATTTTAACATTATCATTTTGACATTATCGTGACTGAACATTATCGTTGTTCTGTTTCGATTGAAATTTTATTTCTCATGCCATAATTTTTTTATCAGAAGAAGATCGACATTTGCAAATTTTTTATACCAATGTTGAAACCTAATTAATTTTTTTTAATTAATATCAGCTAACTCATGTATTATGAAGAAACTTTACATTTTCCTCTTGCCTCAACTATTTATTTGTTTAATAAAAAACCGAACTTTTATGGTTGAATTCCATTTTGGAAAACGATTTATCTCTCAACGAACCATTTAATTTTATTATCTTTAAACAGTTATTTTTCGTCAGTTTTATTTCGTTTCTATAGACTGTTTCTTTATCCATTTCTTTCTTTATCTCTTCCTCTTTCTCTCTTCTCTTTAGTTACTAAAAAATTCTTCGATATGGTGACACATTTCAGTACTGTGTTTCACGTTTTACATCCTCCAATTAACATACTTTTATCTCCCTAAATTCCAGGCAGCCTCAACGATTTATTTAGCAGATAGTTACGCGTCTCGTGCGTCGAAAGATTTAACTGTACCGAATTGTAACCGAGGACACCGATGCCGCGGATGAACGAGCCGCAGTGCTAAAGTGGCATTAAAAAAAAACGGGATTTATGAAGTCATAAAGAGAAGGTTTGCGGTTCTCCTCGAATGAGACCGAAATAAAAGACCGAGGACTGTCCGGCTTTGCCTGGCCAATCGTAACCGCTTCGTCTCGCGTGGCAGATTTCGAGCTATATTCTATTCTTTCCCGTTATGTTTATTCTGTTCTCCATGAAAAATAAAATTCTGATCTCGTATGTACTGAGTTGAAACAAAAGTTCGTAACTCTGTGAACTTCAAAATTCGAATAACTTTGTTAAAAATAATAAATAAAGTTTAAATTTTGGAAGAAAGTTTTAAAGCTTAAAATCTTTACTTTTGAAAAATCACACGTCTTTTGAGTTTCTGTATTATATATAAATTTCACGCAAAGTAATTTTTACATAGACATCTTATCATTTCGTGGACCTGTCAAAAAACTTAGGATAATTTTTAACTTTCTAACATGAAAGTTTAAAGTTTTCTCTATAAAATCGTTTTTGAAAAATGTTCCTAAGATTTTTTGTTATCGCGGATTAAATAAAAAAAGGATTTTAACTTTGATTTCTTATAATTCATTAAAAATCAATTGTTCAATTAAAAACAGATTCTTAGAGCTGAAACTTTGCTCTATTAAATAGTACAATATAACTGTCAAATTTTTTTAAAAATATGTAGAACATGATCAAATGATGTAGCGTTACAAACTTTTGCTCCGACCAATGTACGTGCATGTCGTTTTATTAATCGTATTACTACAAAACAAAATACTATGAATATATGTGAATGTGTAATCCGATTTATTTTAAAAGTCGTCATCTTAATTCTAACGATATAGAATTTTTATGACAGTTTTGATTTGAATTTAAAGAATTATTTGAAATGTTCTCATAATAAAATACAAATTTCTATAAAAGAAATATATTATGTGATATGTTATATGATATATACATAATATATATATATATATATATATATATATATATACATACATATATATATAT